CGGGGGCCGGAGTGTGCGCCCGGCGGGCCGGACCGGGCTCCTAGGGACCCGGGGTGTGCTCCCCGCGGCCTGGAGCGTGCGCCCTGCGGACCCGGCCGTGCTTCCCGGGGCTGGAGTGCATGCTCCCTGGGGCCTGGACCGCCCTTCCCGGGGGACTGGGGCGTGCTCCCTGCGGGCCGGGCCGTGCTCCTCGGGGTCCGGGGTGTCTCCCTGGGGACCGGAGTGTGCGCCCTGGGGACCGGGCCGTGACCAGACTGCTCCCTATGGGGCTGACCATGCTCCTGGGGGAACGGGGTGTGCTCCCTGCAGATGGGACCATGTTTCCCGGCGACCAGAGTGTGCTCCCTGAGGTTGGGGACATGCTCCGAAGGGACCGGAGTGCGGCCCTGGGGTCTGGCCTGCCAGAGTGGCGGTGCCCTCTTCTGCAGGGGTCCGTTCAGCTCTTCATGGAATGCTCACTGCTCCCCTGTCCCCTGCACCACCTGTGGCCGACCCGACCCCGGGGGAGCCCTTCTGGTGGGCAGATGTCCCAAACAAAGTGGACGAAGAGCCACTTCCCACATCCTAGACTGCCCTCGGTTTAAACACTTGAGGAGTTGAGACCAGGCTAAGCGTGGTGATTAGGAGCAAGGGTTTGGAGGCGGATGGGGTCCCACGCCCCGCCTAGCCAGTGGTCTTCTCTGCAAAGTGGTGGTGGTAGTAGTTCTTACCTTACCGAACCACTGAGAAGTGAGGGGAGCACACGAGTCGCACCGTGGTCCCTGCAGCTGCCACTCGTGGGTTTGGGGGGTCTTTGCTAACTGGTCATGTTTCCAGAACCGTGAAAATGGCTGCGGCCAGCAGGTGGCACTGGTGACTGCAGACTGCAGCTTGCGCTGGTCGGTGGCCACAGGTGATTAGAGGGCCCCCTTGGCTCAAGTGTGGAGAGGACATCTTAATTGGCAACCCTGACCCTTCTTCATGCTGGAAAGCACATTAGGATTAGATAATGCTGCCCCTTGTTTCTGCAGGTGAGACAAGGCTGAGCACAGCTTGCTCAAGCAGGCCACGGGAGGCCCCAAGTGACCTCCCTCAAGTTCAGTGTAATTTGAAGAAAACCTTTCTGCCCTTTGCTAGCCTGTTGAGATGGGGCCTTGAATATGCACTAGAATTCTATTATAAAGAACTCGTTTTTTTTTTTTTTTTTTTTGAGTCGGAGTCTCACTCTGCTTCCCAGGCTGTGGTGCAGTGGCATACTCATGGATACCGCAACCTCAACCTGCTGGACTCAGGTGATCTACCCACCTCAGCCTTCCAAGTAGCTGGAACTACAGGTGTACACCACCACGCCTGCCTTTTTAAAAAAATTCATTGTAGTGACAATCTTTTTTTTTTTTTAATTTATTGTAGAGACAGTCTCGCCAAGTTGCCCAGGCTGATCTTGAACCCCCTAGGCTTAGGAAGTCCTCTCTCCTTGGCCTCCCAAAGTGCTGGGATTACAGGCCTGAGCCACCACACTCGGCATATGCATTAGAATTATATTGGAAACCTCAAAGTTAAAATGGATGCCTGCATTCATTCGACAAGTATTTATTGAGCAGTACTTACTGTGTGCCAGACGTTGGTTCAGGCACTAGTTACAACATGGTGAACCAAGCAGATATGGTGCTGGTTTTCTTGGAGTTCACATGCTAGTGGAAGAGACAAACAACATCTGTAAAGAAATACATCAGGCTGGGTACGGTGGCTTAGCCTGTCATCCCTGCACCTTGGAAGGCCGAGGCGAGTGGATTGCCTGAGCCTGCGGGTTTGAGACCAGCCCCGGGCAACTTGGTGACACCTCGTCTCTAAAATAAATCAAAAATTAGCCAGGCGTGGTAGCGCATGCCTGTCATTTGGCTACTTGGAAGGCCGAGGTGGAAGGATCGCCAGAGCCCAGCAGGTCGACGCTGGAATAGCTGGAATAGCTGTGAGCATGCCACTGCACTGTAGCCTGGGTGACAGAGTGAGACTCCGACTCAAAAAAGAAAAAACAAACAAACAAATATATCAGTATAAGTTGCTAGGAAGAAAAATCGAGGCTGTTTTTGACTGGGCCACTGGCTCACCTCTCTGAGTCTTCCCTTCAGTCTGCATGACTGGCTCCTTATCACTGAACACAGGAAGATGTGATAAGGAGCCAGTCATGCAGAGACTGAAAGGAAGAGCACTCACAGTATGGGGAACAGCATTTGCCAAGGCCCTGAGGTAGGCAAAAGGAAAGGAAAAAGGCTGGCGTGGCTGGAGCACAATGAATAGGGGAAAGGAGGGAGGCTGAGGCTGAGGTAGCAGGGGGGAGCCTTTGAGCAGGACTTGGGAGCTTGAACTTTATCCTGTGTGTGATAGAAACCACTGACTGATTTTAAACACGGCATGTCCTTTTATTATAGAAGTTCACTCCTGCACTGTGCAGAGAACAAATTGGGTGATGGTTTGAGTACCAAGGAGATAACCAGCTGGGAGACTATTGCAGGAATTCAGGTAAGAGACGATGGTATCTTCAAAAAGGCAGGTGGTTTAGCCCGGTGTGGTATGGCGTGCCTGTAGTTCCAGCTATTCTGGAGGCTGAGGCAGGAGGATCGCCTGAGCCCAGGAGTTTCAGGCTGCAGTGAGCTATGATTGTGCCACAATTTGGGTGACAAAGTGAGACCCTATGTCTCTCTCTCTCTCTCTCTTTGAGCTGGAGTCTCACTCCGTCGCCCAGGCTGGAGTGCAGTGGCACTCTCAGGCCACCCCAGCGTCAACCTGCTGGGCTCCGGCGATCCTTCCCCCTCTGCCTTCCAAGGAGCCAGAACGACAGGTGTGCACGACCACGCCCAGCTAATTTTTGATTTCTTGTAGAGACAAGGTCTCGCCAAGTTGCCTGGGCTGGTCTCGATCCCATGGCCTGAGACAATCCACTTGCCTTGGTCTCCCAAAGTGCTAGGATTACAGGCTGAGTCACCAAGCCCAACTGAGACCCTGCCTCTTAAAAAGCAAAAGCAAAAGAAAGGCTGGTGGAGTGAAGGTGCAGAAAAGCAGACAGATGAAAATACATGTTGGGGGTAAAATCAGGGAGACTGAGGGATGGAGAAGAGAATGGGAGGGACGGAGGGAGCGAGAGGGGCTTTTCAGGTGTCTGGGGAGCTGAGATACCATTTACAGGATGAGGAAAACGGGAGGAAGGATGGTCGAGAGGTGCAGGGAGAGACAGTGGAGGAGAGGGTTCCATCTTAGACACACGAATGTGGGTATCCTTGCTCTATCCAGGTGGGAATGTTATATTAGAAATTGCATATCAGGCCAGGCTCGGTGGCCCAGCCTCTAATCCCAGCACTTTGGGAGGCTGAGGCGAGTGGATTACCTGAGCCCACAGGTTCGAGACCAGCCCAGGCAACTTGGCGAGACCTCGTCTCTATAGTAAATAAAAAATTAGCCAGGCATGGCAGTGCGCACCTGTAGTTCCGGCTACTTGGAAGACTGAGGCAGAAGGATCGTCAAAGCCCAGCACGTCGACACTGGGGTGGCCATGAGCGTGCCACTGCACTCCAGCCTGGGCGACAGAGTGAAACTAGAACTCCAAAAAAAAAAGAGAAAGGAATTGCATATCAGAGCGTGGGGCTCAGAGGAGACATTTGTGTGGGTGACGCGAACTTGGCAGTCATCAGCCTGTGAGTGATATCTAGAGCCAAGGAAACAGACAGTATCACTGGGTGATGATCTGGTCCGGTGGTCGTCACCCTGGATCTGCGGCCGCCAGTGTGGCTGAAGAGCTTTTGGGGTTAAGGCATTGAATTTCAGTCACGGGATGAGTGCACAGTCCTTGGACCTGCAGACAGCCATGTTTGTGTCACCCCGTGTTGCCCTCAAATGCCCCACCTCGTGGTGGAGGAGGAGAAACAGGATCGCATGTCCACAGCTGCTCCCCGGGCTGGCGCACGAGCTTGCCGGTGTCGGTTTGCAGTGGACAGAGGGCCATGTCGGTTTTCTGCCCCCTGCAGGACAGACCATGAAGCTGAAGGAACTTGAGAGGCCAGCCGTCCAGGCGTGGGGCCCGGCCAGCCAGTACCCTCCGTGTCTGGCCACAGGTAGGTGGCCTAGGATCCCGGGAGTACACGGGCGGAGGGGAAGCTCGGTGTCCAGAACTCAGGGCTAGAATGTGTTGAAGCATTAGAGGAAGTGTTTGGGTCCCAGGAGGGTGGGATGGCTTGTGGCCCAGGCAAGGGCATACTGGGGGTTTTGGTACCCGCGGCAAGCACCTCATACTTTCTTGCTTTCTTCGCGCTACCCTCTGAGAAGGAGTAAGCCAGCCCTCTGGGCCTCCACTGCACCCCGTTTCCCGCCCTGAGTTCACCGCATGCTGTCGCTCACAGGCCTCTTCCCGACTGCGCTTGTGCCTAGGAACGTCAGCCCAGCAGCTGGATGCCTCCTGTAGCACAAATGGCGCGTTGGAGATTTTCGAGGTCGATTTCAGGGATCCTTCTCCAGACTTGAAGCGCAAGGGGGTGCTTTCCGCAAGCAGGTACTTTGTTGGAACTGTGGGTGCGCGCACGGGGCAAGTGCTGGTGAGGACATGGAGGAGGCGTCCCGTGGCTGTGCGTGCTTCTCAGGGTTCGCGCAGAGGCCCGCAGGGGAGGAAGGAGCCTTGCTGAGTTGGAGAGAAGTTAACTCCGGGCCTGTCTTGCAAAAGAATTTTTAAAACAACCGCCCCCACCTTTCCGGTCAGCAGCAAAGCAGTGTCAGACAGGACGTGTGTGAGAGGGATGCCTCACACAGCCTGGGTGCACGGGGCCCTGGCCTCTCCTTGAGCCCAGAGACGTTGGCTTTATCCTCTCATGGCTCTGGTGAAGATAACCACCTTGCACAATGTCACCCTCTTCTGCCAGCACAGAAGAGGACAAATGACCCTCTCTCACTCCGGCAGGCACTGACGGGTTCTCGTGGGTTCTGTGGCTCTCGCAGGCCTCGGGGCCAGGCCCCTGCACCCGCTGAGCACATACACACGTGCCAGACACCGCCCTGGGGCTCGCCGCATCTTCTTCCTTAAACTCACCCTGAGCACAAGTGTCGTGGTTTCCATGTTGCATCAGAGGGAACCGGAACTCTGACCAGCTAGGATTTAAGAGTAGGCCCAGGAATCCCAAGTCAACCTCCTTTCCATCAGTCTGCTTTTTGAACAGTTTCATGGAGGCGGGACTTGCAGCCGAAGCCGTGGTCTCCAGGTTTTCATATCCTCGGGAAAAACGTGAGGATCTGTTATACTCGTTCCATGCTCAGCATAAATAATATGCGTGTATTGTGGTGCCACTTCTAAGGTCGTGTCCGTCACCTTTTAGGTGAAGATGCGTCTCTTACAGCCACGGGCCTTCCTGCCCCTGCTTCCGAGGTGGCCGGTCTTGGGAGCAGCTTTCCGCCTGGGGATGGGTGAACCCTTGTGTGTGTTTTGGTCCCTCGGAGAGTTGAGCCCTCTTCTTTTCAGATTTAACCTGGTGGGGGAGGTCGGCCACCACTGGCCCTTTCTGGCATCTCTCTGTGTGTTCAGCACCTGGACACCTTAAGAGCAGGCGCTTGAGAATCTGCCGGTGAAGACGGGCTTTATCTGGCTCTTAAGCAGGCATTTCAGAAGGGCCCCGGTAAGGGCGGGCTAGGCCAAGAGTGTTTATCCTCATGGAGAGAAGACCGGGGTGTGGGCGAGGCTCTTCCTGAGCCAGGCACAGCTTCAGCCTGGTCGTGGCTCTTTGGGGCTGAGAATGCTTAAGAAGGAGGCAGGGCCGGGCCTGGTCGCTCAGCCTGTCATCCCAGCACTGTGGGAGGCCGGGACGAGTGGATCGCCTGAGCCCGCAGGTTCGAGACCCGCCTGGGCAACTTGGCGAGGCCTCGTCTCCACAATAAATCAAAAATGAGCCAGGCGTGGTAGCGCGTGCTTATATTTCCGGCTACTTGGAAGGCTGAGGCGGAAGGATCACCAGAGCCCAGCAGGTCGGGGCTGTAGTGGCCAGGAGTGTGCTGCTGCCCTCCAGTCTGGGCGAGAGAGTGAGACGCCAACTCAAAAACAAAAAACAAAACAAAACAACAAAAAAAAGGAGCCAATGAGTCCAGGTGTGGTGGCTCACACCTGTAATCCCAGCACTTTGGGAGGCCAAGGTGAGAGGATTGCCTGAGCCCGGGGGTTCGAGACCAGCCTGGGCAACTTGGCAAGACCTCATCTCTACAGTAAATCAGAAAATCAGCTGGGTGTAGTGGTGTGTGCCTGTAGTTCCAGCTACTTGGAAGGCTGAGGCAGAAGGATCGCCTGAGCCCAGCAGGTCGAGGCTGCGGTGGCTGGGAGCGTGCCACCGTGTTCCAGCCTGGGTGACAGAGTGAGACTCCGACTCAAAAAAAAAAGGAAAGAGGCAATATAATTGCTTAAGACACCTTGACACTGAATTAAAAGATCCACGTGGGCAGAGACTTTTGTTTGTCTTATTCACGGTCATATTTCCACCTAGAGCGTGCCTGGCATTGTGTTTAATAAATGGTTGTTGGATGAATGAGTGAGGTGGGAGTTTCTGGGTTACCAGGTGAGCGTTCATGTCCAACACTTCATGGGCGAGGGCTCTGCACGGCCTCTGTGACTCTATAAGTCCTCTTCTCCAGTGACGGGAAGAAGCAGGGGCTTGGTCTTCCATCATGCTGTTTTGATCTCAACCTAGCCACTTAGGGAGCACTGTGGCTTCTCTTTGGGTACATAAGAGGCAACACCAAGCAGGAAAAATATCATTTTGTGCACGTGGCTGTTCTGTCCTCAAGGCCCGGCCTCTTTCTAGAGGCGTCTAGATCACAGAGCAGGAAGGGCGTGGGATTTGTTGGTGAGTTCCTCGGGTTCACAGCCGGCACTGCCATTCGCTGTGCTTGTGGACACGTGACTCACCCTCTCTGGTCCTGCCGCCTCCGCTGTAAATGCAGGACTGACGGAAGGCACAGAGTGTGTGGTGTAAAACGGCCATCCCCAAAGGCCGACTGCCTCTCAGTCGCCCCCTCCACGTCATCTCCAGTGCGGGTCCTCCCCTCACTCCTTGAAGGAGACCGGAGTCCCAGGCGATTTGGGCCTGGAAGCGGACGAGCTCTTTGTCACTTTCATTCACTCACGTGAGATCGGGATCTTCCTGAAGGGCCCATACTGAGCAGAGGAAGGCAGAACCCAGAGCAGAGATGCCAGTCCCGGCCGCAAGGCCTGACTCCGCAGGCGTCTCCAGCCGTGAGGCAGGGGGCTTGGCCGCCGGGAGCTCGGCTGGTACAGCTTCCTGCGCTCCCAGCCTCCGTTTCTTCTTTCCAGCGCCATTTCCCACCTGCTGGAAGCAGAACCACGAGCCAGGTGTGAGGCTGGCACTGTCCTCATAGACCCAGCCGTGGCCCCGTGGCCTGGGCTGACGTGCAGCCTGATGGCACTGGCAGAGGTCTCCTCACGAGCAACCTGTCAGAGTCACCCGGGCACTTCTCGCCTGTGGGGTTCCCAGGGCCTGCCTGGGCCTTTGGCCCAGTTGGCAGCAAAGGCCCTGCATGTTCCCTTGGTGCCACCATCGCTCTGAGGTTCCACGCACCTCCGTCATTGCCAATGTGGCCTGGGAACCTCTTTAGTGGAGCTGCAGTTCACGCTGTGAGTTCCCACCGTCCTGTGGAAACGCTTCATCCTCTACCTTCTCCTGGAGCCTCTCATTCCTATTTTCAAGCCAAAGGCCACCTTCTTCTTCTTCTTCTTTTTTTTTTTTTTTTTTTAGGGATGGGGTTTTGCTATATTGCCCAGGGTGACCTTGAACTCCTGGCCTCAAGTGATCCTCCCCTCTCAACCACCCGAGTAGCTGGGATTACAAGCACATACCGCTGCACCTGGCTAAGCCATCTTGTGTGTGTGTGTGTGTTTTAGCTTTTTAAAAATTTAAACTGGCAGGGCACGGTGACTCACACCTGTCATCCCAGCACTTTGGGAGGCAGAGGCGAGAGGATTGCCTGAGCTCAGGGGTTCGAGACCAGCCTGGGCAACTTGGCAAGCTCCCGTCTCTACCGTAAATCAAAACATTAGCTGAGTGTGGTGGCGAGTAGCTGTAGCCCTAGCTACTCGGGGGGCTGAGATCATCTGAGCCCAGCAAGTCGAGACTGTGGTACTGTGATCATGCCACTGCACTCCAGCCTGGGTGACAGAGTGAGAAACTGACTCAAAAAAAATTTTTTTAATTTAAAGTTGCCAAATGGTGCAATGAACACGACCTTCACTGAGATTTGTTCCTTGTTAACATTTTACCGCATTTGCTGCCCTCTCCACGATCTTCCCCCCATCTCCCGTTTTCTCCACTGTAAATTCAGGATGTCTAGCAGACACACACATACCTAGACACACACACACACACACACACACACACACACACACACACACACACACACACGGCTTCCCTTGTCCCCCGGCCATCTGAAGAGCAAGCGGCTGACACTCCTGACCCAATGAACAACCAGGCTCCTTCCTTCTTAGCTCCACCCAGATGTTCCCACCTGCCTCCCTGTCACAACCTGCCAGGCCCCAGCTTTGCCCTCTAGGCAGGTGCTTAATAACAGAAATGAGCTTCCTGCAGGCGGAGAGAAAATCGCAGCTCACACCTGTGTGCTTCACCTTAGCCGCTCAAGGCACCTGTCCTCTTCCCCACCCTTTGCCTCGGGGCCGCGTCGTATGTTCTGACCATGTTCTGACCGCGCTCAGGGCGCTGCAGCCTCTCCTTCCCATGAGAACCGTTCCTGGCCACTCCCCCTCTCGTCCCTGGGTGACCGCGGTGGGCCCCTCTGGCTGCTCTGTTGACATGGCCCCTGCCCCCGAGTGCCAGCCCCTGGACGGCACACCGCCTCCGAGCCCTGGGGAAACGCCTCCTGGTGATCTGGGATCAGTGCAGCCTTGGCGAGCGCCATGGGGCTCTGCGCTCTTGCTTGGGTGCCGGCCTGGGCTGAGTCCGTGCTTCTCCCGGGCTGGCTCCGACCCGTGACTGGCCCGACAGCTTCCTGTCCTGTCACCCCACTCGGTCTCTTGGCCGACCATTTGGGTGTGGGAGTGTCCACCCCAGTTAGGGATCTTGGAGCCTCAGGGCGCGAAGCTGGCTCCTCTGAAGGGCTGTGGACACGTCCCTGGCCAGCGGCTGAGAAGGGGAGACAGACCACCCGCGAGGGTGCAGGGCTCAGCGGAGGCCCCAGACTTGTCTGCGAGGGTCCAGGGCCCACCTGGTTCCTTTGTGCAAGAAGGTCTTGTTAGAGGCAGCCTCAGAGCCGGGCTCGGTGGCTCAGCCTGTAATCCTGCGCCTTTGGGAGGCTGAGGTGAGTGGATTGCCTGAGCCCGTGGGTTCCAGACCCGCCTGGGCAGCGAGACCTCGTCTCTACAATAAATTAAAAAAAAAAAATTAGCCGGGTGTGGTAGCGCGCACCTGTAGTTCTGGATCCTTGGAAGGCTGAGGCGGAAGGATCGCTGGAACCCAGCAGGTTGAGACTGGGGTGGCTGTGAGTGTGCCACTGTACTCTAGCCTGGGCAATGGAGCGAGACTCCAACTCTAAAAAAAAAAAAAAAGCTGTTACCTAATATTTGAGAAGTGAGGATTACATGAAGTAATCTATTTGAAGTATTTAGCAGAGCCCCCCCCAAGATTAACTTTAAAACACACACACACACGCGTGTGCATGTGGAGAAGCCAAAAAAAAAAAAAAAACTGGAATTGTTTTTTGGAGGGTGGTCACTTGCGGTACAGGCTCCCCCCGCTAGGTAAGTGTTCTCCATTCCCTCTGCCAGCTAGGGAAACATTTTGCCGATGTGGGAGAGGTGAAACAAAAAACGGTAGTAGCACGGAAAGGGTTCAGAATGGACGAATTCAGAAACTGTGTTGAGCTGTGGAAAAAACATCTCAATAGGTACATCAAACGGAGAGGACTTTGAAGGTGGCTGAAGTATAAACATGGAAGAATAAATACACAATTTTTTGTAAATAAATTCTGGGCTTTTTGGGGTCCCCCTCATGTATACACACACACACACACACACACACACACACACACACACAGCTCAGAGGCAGTGGCCTCCTGGCTTTGAGTGTTGCAGAACTGAGAGGCTGTTTCAGAGCACGGGCGGGACTGGGCAGAAGAGTCATCCCTTCTTTGGCTGGAATGGGGGAGCCAGGTGGGTCCGGGCTGGGGTGGCAACGGCTGCAGCGTGGCAGAGGCTGGCTGGGGTGCCCGTCCTCTGCTTGTGGACGCGGACCTGATGCCAGTTCCTCCTCCTTGTAGGTTTCACAAGCTGACCTGGGGGAGCTTGGACAGTGGGCTTCCAGAAGGCTTCGGGGTCCTTGCAGGCGGCGGGGACAATGGCGTGCTCACCATATACAACGTAGTCCACATCCTGTCTTTGGGGAAGGAGCCTGTGACTGCTCAGAGACAGCAGCACACGGAGGCTGTCAGAGCCCTCGACTTTAACCCTTCCAGGTACTGTGCTGGGCGGCGCAGGTGGCCAGGTCCTGGGGCAGCAGATCCAGGAAGCACTCATCTGCGGCCTCGGGGCTGCCACTCTGGACCCCTTCCAGGCTGCTACGGGGGCGGCTTAGGACGCCCCAGATGTGGCCTCTGTCCCCCTTCCCTGCCCTGCCTCTCCCTGGGCCGTGTCTTTTGATCCCTTGACTTCCTACAGGGCAACCTGCTGGCCTCTGGGGCCAGCGAGTCTGAAATCTTCATCTGGGATTTGAACAACCTGAGTGGGCCCATGACCCCGGGATCCAAGCCCCAGGTGAGCAACCCCACCTGGGGCTCTGCTGGACGCCTGCAGGGCATCCCAGCATGTCCTGAGTTCCCAAGCCAGCAGGAGCGTAGGCCAGCTCAGACAGAGCCACGGGAGGGCAGTGCAGCTCCAGGGACCAGCGCCAGATGTGGAGAGTGGGGGGAACCACACAGACCAGCACACACCAGATGCGGAGGGGAGGGGCAGCTCCAGGGACCAGCACGCACCAGATGGGGTGGGGGGAACGTCACAGACCAGTACATGCCAGATGGGGGGGTAGCTCCATCCACCAGCACCTGCCAGATGGGGAGGTGGTGGGGGGAACTCCGCAGACCAGCATGCACCGGATGCCGGGGGGGCGAGGGTGGTAGTGGGGGGAAACTCCATAGATCACCTGCACCAGATGGGGAGGTGGAGGAAGAGGCCGCTCCACGACCAGCAGGCACCAGATGCGGGGTGGGGGGGAGGTGGAGGGGAACTCCACAGACCAGCAGGCACCAGGTGAGGGGAGGGGCAGCTCCAGGGGCCAGCACGCACCAGATGTGGAAGGGGGGTGGGCAGGGGCGTGCATGGCTGGCGGTGGGCCAACCTGTTCCCCGAGTCTCTGGAGGGGCTGGCGGGGGCAGAGCAGAGGCACTAGGGAAGCATAGGGGCTACTGGTGCCAGTGTGGCCCGGGTTGGCTCGCTGGGCCTGGGCCCAGCAGACGGGGCAGGGGCAGGACTGCAGACATCCTCCTTCCTGGGGGGACGGGGTGTCTGCTTTGTCCTTCGTGGCTGGGGC